GTTAACTGCTGCCCTATAAAGGCCCTGGTGTATGAAGAAGGCTCTCCTCCCCATTTTTGCAAAACAAATACCTACGTGTCTTGTCAGGTGGGATCGGAGGCGGGCAGGATGGGACACCCAACAACAGGAGGGAGAATCTGATTTTGAGAGTTGCTCGCCTTTTTTGTTTGTTTTGAAGATCTTGACTTTTCTTGGGTATTTCCTTACCTAAAGCAAATTTTAGGGCTAGACTGAGCTAATGCTCATTTTTGAAACTTCCAGTGCATCAGGCCTGTGGGTGAGATCTGCTGTGGGATCTTGAAGCTGTTGCTGTCACTGTTCCGAGAGAGAAACTAACTGAGCTCAATAGATTTTCTTGATCCTAATGGAAGCTCTCTTTCTAGTTGGGAAGAAGTCTTCTCTGTTGGGACAAGTCCGTGACCTGTTCTAGAGAGCTGTACAGAGCAGTTGCTATTTTCTTAGGACAAGAAGCCATCTTCCAGGAGCTCCTTCTTCATTTTATTTCAATCATTTCTATTAATTATAGAATAACAGGATCTGAAGGAGAGGAGGCTGAAGCTCTTTGTTTTGTATTTGTGTGTAAGGAATGGCCGAGGAAAATAACAGTTTTCTTTTTGTCATCAGATTAAGTAATTGAAAAACTGCTAACTGCTATAGTAACAGCAACACCTTTGCCAGATGTCAACGAGCGTATTTTAATCCTTCTATTTTAAGTTTCAAGCTATTGAGGAAAAGTGTATGTAGGTGTGGCAGTCTTAATAGCTGCTTCAGCCCGTAGCTACTTGGGTAGCTGAGGAAAGAACCCTGTAGTATCGCTGTTGGAGGGACTGTTGATTAAATTTATAGAAAAAGCTTTTCCCAGATGTTCTTATGGGGCAGCAGCCCATCCCGAAGATTTGTGTTTCTCTCCGAGACACTTTTATGATGTCCTGTTGGGTATACGGCGCGTGCTCTTCTGTGTGTTAGATGGATTTGAGGTACTGTGACATTTTTCTTGGAAGGTGTACGAGCCAAATAAGTAGAATGAAAACGTTTCGGAGCCTGGGCTTTCTGCCTAATACCAATTCCGTGTGGCTGTGCCGGTCCGTACGGCCGGGATGCTTGCTGGGGAGCGGGAGTAAGATGTCCACAGAACTGTCCTGTCGCCTGTTGACACTGACTGTAAAGGAGTTTAAGCTGAAATGATAGATGTGGAGTGGAAGAGACTGTTTTTCTAGTTAAACATTTTAAACTGTCAGAGGAGGTGAAAAATGCCTTGTACTCTTTCCTGTGGCCTTTTCCTCCAAAGATCCTGTCATGCAAGAAAAGGAGGGAAAATGTGCCTGGCGTGGATCAAGCCCTTAGCTTTTCCGTGTTCGTTTGTTTTTATTGTAAGATAAACCTTTCATGTTTTATTGTTACGAAGTTAAAGCCTGGCCTAGAGGTGCTGATCTTTAGCAGAAACAGCTGCAGACGGAGTGTCCCCCGGTCAGGTGGGAGGCTCTTTGAAGCAACATGTTGCCTCTTTAAAAGGAAATTGAGCATGTGAGAACTTAAACCTGTAAAACTCATCAACGGCTCTGCCATTGTTTCTCTGGTGTAACTTTATATAGAATTAAAATGAAACGTGTTACTTTGCTTCCAAGACAAGATGGTTTAGCTCCCCCTCGGTCCTGGAGACACAGGAAATGACCACATAACCACAGATACTTTCTAGTGGAATGACGATGAGTGACAAAGTATCCACAGAAATAGGTTCTTAGCCGGACGGGCTAAGAAATTAAAGGTAGCTAAAGCTTCTGGTTTTAAGTTAAAACCAATGCTTAAACAGCAAAGCCGAGCAGAAAAGAGCGAATGCTGTATATGCGCTGGCTGACGTGAGGGGGCAGATCTGAGCGTTTCTTGTTGGTTGGGTGTTGCGATCAGCAACAGTTTTCAGCATAGACTGTAGTCTGTTCCTCAGTGAGAAAAGGAATGAACCGCACTGCCTTTGGGATGAGGAAAGCTAAGGTACTTTTTTGGCTTCGTTTCTTAAGTTACCTTCTTGTACAGAAAACAAATACCCATTAGCTGGCAGATCTCCTCCTTTACTTCTCTGTAGCATTTTCATTGCATCAAGCAAGGCCCTGGGTATCTTACTATCATCTCTTTAAACTCATCAGCCACTGTATTCCCCTTCCTGCCGGAACAGGGTGCAGTGATAGCCTCTAAAATTGACACTGTGCGTTTCCATGAAAAGGAAGAATCCCTTCCCTAGAACCAGGCTTATCACTACTTCAGAAAAAAGCTTTCTTAGGAAAGACTGTTCTGTCTTAACAGGTCAGTCATGCTGGACCACATCTGCTTAACCGTGGTGTTGGGTATTAGTGTGGGGGAAGACCTAGGTCTTGTTTTAGGCTTAGGCTGAATTGCAGTTGGTAGAAATAATAAATTTTTCACCTTTGAGCGTATCCTGTAGCTTCCCCCATGGCCAACAGGAAGCAGCATCGCTGGCATCTGTGTGGAGCCCTTACAAACGGGGGTGTAATGTGAGAGCGCATCTGAAGGAGGTGAAGAGAATACAAGATAACGAAGATTTCTGGATGTAGATGGAAAGAAACTGTATTAACTATAGCTGCTTTCTTAGTGCAGCCTTTTCTTCAGACAAGAGAGTAAGCAGTTTACCACCACTCTGGTAAAAAGAATGTGGGTTTGACTGGTAACGTGGAAAATGTGGTGACATTAGAAACTGCCTGGGCTCTGCATCGAGATGATGCAGAATTTGTCATCCTGTAAATCATTTCTCATTGATTAGCTAAACTGTTTGGATTGGCAGAGGGGATTTTTTTCTTGGACAGGAAGCGTAGGACCAGTATCACTCACTGCATGACAGACCTTCTGAACCGGGCAGTTCAAACAACGCCTAGTGCTGTCTGAACGGAAAGTAATTACCTCCAGAAAGTCCTGCTCAGACCTACAGTACAACAGCCCAAACCAAGAAGGCAGCATAACTACATATTGTAGGAAAAGACTGGCAGAGGGAGTCAGGTCAGAGGGCCAAACAGTTGTCCGTTGGATGAATTCTTGAAGATAGTAATTATCCTTGATAGCATAAACATTCTGCGAGAGCCAACACCAGCTGTATTATAGCAAAGGTACAGAAGGAAGGCTCTACTTGGGGAGGGGGAGTGGAGGAATTAGCACGGATGAGCTGCTGCTCTTAGTAGTGCATGATGTCTCTTCCAGTCTGCATAGAAATGCCCGTCAGTGACACGGAATGAGTAGTTAGCTGTTTATACGAGATGCTCCGAGTAGTGTATCTCTTACTGTCTGAAATGCAGAAAAAGCCTGAAGCTCTGACCAGACATCTGAGGAACTGAGACTTTCCCTTAGCTGTGCAAATGATTAGAGTGAAAACCTGACCTTCTGCAAAATGCTCGGTTTCTAAAATGTCTGGGGGAGTTATGTCAGGACCACTTGGCAGGCTGTCAAAGTTCTTCCCTGCAGTTGCATGTTTTGTAAGCCTACTCCAAAGTTGTAATGACCTGGTAAAGTAGTTACCTCTGTCACAATTGAAAATGTGTAGTAGAATTAAAAGAGTTTTCAAAAGCAGCTCTGACTTCCAGCTCTCGGTAGATATGGATAGCGAAGTCCTAACAGGAGAGGAAACATAAGGGGGTTTGCTCAGATCATCGTTCGGTCATCTCTGTTCTAATATTTGAGGGTTTTTTAATCAATGAAAAGCGTGGGGCGCTTAGTTAATTTACTAGGTAATGAAGTGAGTATTGTTTCAATAATCTGTGCCTCAGTAGGAGCTACCATTAGTATATTTTTTTTAAACCTTTTTTCAGGGAAAAAGGTTTAAAGAGCAGAAGGAAACTTAAAAAAAAGAAACATACTCCTATACGCCAAGAGGGTATAGGATTCTTTGGCATTGTTCTGGACTCAACCCACTTAGTAATGCATTCAACAGGAGCTTAAATAAGGATCGCATGCTTTTAGGAATATTTAAAAGAAAAAAAGTATGTCTTTTAATTAATAATACTTGTTATGCTTAAGCTAGATTTCTTGTATTGAAAGGAGAGTATTGAAACCCATAACAGGATGTGTTTGCTGCAAAATAAACCTGAAACCGTTAGGTATGTTTTTTAATAAGCATATGCATGACTGATTGTCTTTTTTTTTTTTTCTTTTCCTTTTTTAAACTTTTGTACTGTTGCGCCTTATCTAAAATTCTTGTCTCTAGTGAATATAATGAAAGGTAGAATTTACCCGCTGAGCTCAAAGTTTTCATTGTTATATTTATTGGGTCATGAGAGGAGTTTTGCAGACTTGCCTGACTTCTTGCAAAAAATCATAAGCACACCTTCCAAGGAAAGCAAAAATTATTTTTAAATATGCCAGCTGAGTTCTTTAATGGTGCTTGGATAAATTTTTTTCAACTGCTGCAGTTATTTCTATATATAGTATAAGGATGTGAAAAGTCATTCATTCCTAATGTGTTTAAATATGCTCCATAATGAATGTTGTGGATGTGAAAGATAAGCAGCCTGGAGCTTTCTTTTGCAAGGTATAGGGTAACACAAAGCATCAAGTTTTGCTGCCCTCAGGACACACATTGAAGTAGTTAAAGTAGTGAGATAAACGAAATACAATAAGATATTAATCTGCAAAATCTAAAGCTCAAGGACACAATAAGTTTTCATTTAAGTGTTTCTCATTTGCTGACAATGAGCCAAATAAATCTTAATTCCACATTGTAGATGGTGACAGAAATTCAGTAACTTTCGCTGGGATGAGAGTCTGGTTTGTTTCCCAAATCTTTCTGATAATGTTGGGATTCTAATCTGAATTAGCTGCTTACAGTTACTTAAGAAGAATTATTTTTTTCAGAATTTCTGTTTAAGAACATTTTTGTTTGGTGTGCTGAAATAACATGTAGTCTGATATTCCTGAGTTGGAACAAAGAATTACTGTAAAGAACTAAATTTTCTATTACTTTGCATTATCTTAGTCCTCACTCACTGCATTTCTTCTTACAGGTGCTGGATTTGGATTAGGAATTGTTTTCTCAGTCATCTTCTTCAAAAGTAAGTATACGGCAGTCATCTTGACTGCCTGGTTGCCTAATTTCTGTCTGTTGTAGGTGCAGTTTAAAACGAAGAAATCTTTGAGGCATATAAAACTTAATCGGCATGTTAGACCAATTCTTTCATTATTGGTCATGCCTTTTCCATTGAAATGGAGTTACCTAAACTTTTAACTGTTGCATAACAAGGTTGTTGCATGCGGCATCTCTCTAAGCTCCTACTGTGCTCAGCTCAAATTCTGGAATTGCAGGAAACCCTGAGCCAAATTACTGGAGCCGTGTGTCTAGACATCAGTTTATGCCAGTCTTGCCAGGGTTTTAAAACTGATCTAAATTCTTGTTTAGTTATGCCTTGGTAACAGAATAGTCTTCAGTAATATCTTGAATTCAGAGATTGCTCTCCATTAAATTCTAAATACGATATCTGACTCCTGTTCTTCTGAAGCGGTCTGGTTTTTAGCTGATTTTAGGACTCGTAGAATTTGAAAATGCCTAATATGCATCTTTGAGTCGTTTATTCTTTCTTGGTGCTTATTTAACAATGTTATCACTGTCATGTGAAATGAACAGCCTTTCTTGACTTTAACTTCTCTCTGCTTGCCTTCCCCCACAGGAAAGACATGGCCTATCGCTTTTGGGTCAGGGATGGGGTTAGGAATGGCTTATTCCAATTGTCAACATGACTTCCAGTCTCCATATCTTCTCCATGGTAAATTTGTAAAAGTAAGTATCAGTACTGGTTACTATTAGTTGGTAACTGTTTATAGGTTAGCATTAAACGGTACATCCGTACACCATTTAAATGGATATTCCTCCGCCTTTCCCAAAAGAGCACTAGTAAGGAGAAACTTGTGTTGCCGAAGCGGGGGTGGTTCCCCTGCTCTTTAGAAATTTCTAATGTCTGGTGTGTTTAGCAGTAAACTTACTAGGCTGAATACATGAATTAATTTAACGGATCCTGCAGGTAGGTTTTCCCACAACCTGAAAACACCTATAATAAAAATACATCTTAGAAAAGCTGAAAAACTAAACTAACAGTAAGATTCTGTCTTCAGAATGAAGAAAGGGATGAAGTAGGAAGAAAGTGAAAGGCATGTCAGGTAGATCTGCCTGTGGAAGCAGATCTTTGATCTTCTGTGGGGGTGTTTTGTTTTGGGGTTGTTTGGGGTTTTTTTCAACATGAAAACACTAATCACTTGTAAGTTTTGTGGCTTGTTTGACTGGATAGTAATGTAATAATTAGTCTGAAGAAATTGTACACTTTAAATAGTTTTGAAGAGGATGATTTAAATTACTTCAGTATTGTCACTGACCATGCTGAGATAAAATATTTAAAAATAGATTAATTAGCAGGAACCATTTGTGCACTTGCCAACTGCCTACAGTGCACTAAGTCCACAAACTGACTTCATGAATATTTTCTCTATTTCTTCACATGTAAAAGTTGGGGCTGTTCTTATGATAATTTATTATTGTCACATCTTTGGAAAAAAAAAGGGGGGAGGGGGCGGTGCGTGCATGCATCTTTTGGATCCACAAAGCCATATACTGCTAAAAGCATTTCACTGATACTGATGGAGAGGCATCCACCAGGACATATTTATAGTTATTTTAGCACTTCAGAGAGTACTGAGGTAAAATGTTCTGCCAGGAGCTTTTCATGACAAGTACACAGAATGCAAAAATTGCTCCTGTATCACTCATCTGCCTATAGATAGCAGAAGGAGGCCTGAAGGTGTTTTTAGGCTTTTTCCTGATGCATATAGAGCTGTAAGCTGAGTCCAGTCCTCCTTAGGTTTACTGACAGATGAGCTTTTGCCAGCCTTCTGCAGCCCTACCAGACATACCTGTTTAAAATACTATCTTCAGCTGCCTGTAAAGACAGGGAGACAACAACAAGATTCTTGAACAACTTCTTCAGAATAAAATGTTTTGGATAGCAATATAGAGAAACTGTGACTTGGTTGCAGCTGATACAACATGGCCAGGAATCAAAAGTCTGTGCATGGCTCTTCTGGCCGGATTTGATTTTAACACATCAAAACGTGTTAGCTTTGCGCACCATCCTGAGGGTATTCCTCCAATTTATGTCACCAAAAAGAAACTGGAATGACATGTCTGTGGCTTCATGTGAATGGTAAATGCCCTGCTCACGTGTTCTGAGAAAGCATTATTCATTCAAGGATGCTTGTTACTAGGGATGTTGGGCAACAGAAAACTGACTTTCAGGTCAGCCTAGGAAAGGATTTTGTTTGGATTAAGGACTAATCTGTGCTCTGGAGCAAGGGTGGTCCTTCGAAGCATGAGGTAATTGAAAGGACACTTCACAGAAGAAGCGCAGCTGCCTGCATGGCACAAGACTAGACAAACAGTTTCCAGTGCACTGTCTCCACTAGCTTTCTCTGGCACAAAGAAGCTGAACATGCTGAGAGAGGGAAGATGTGGATGAAGCCATCTAATGGTTAATGTCATTAATTCTCTCCAAAATGTCGTGTCACGGATAATGGCTCCAGGGTTATTACAACAAAATTAGTTCATTTCTGTTGGTTAGGAGCATGGAAAATATTGTTGCATTATCACTCATCTGTTTTTTTCCTAGAAAATACTGTTGTAACTAAACTCTATAGGACTTCCTTTACAAAACTGAGTTTCTGTTCAAATGCTAACTTGTCAAAATGTGAGATTCTGCAAGAAAATCAGCTTTATTAAGAGAGAGAGAAGTGTAACACGGATTAGCTTGAACGAAATTATTTCTAGTTTTCCAAACCTGTCAAGTTCATAGGATCACAGGATAACTCAAGTTGGAAAGGACTTCAAGGAGGTCATCTAGTCTGACCTCAGACCAGGGTCAGCTGTGAGGTCAGACCAGGTTACTCAGGGCTTTATCCAGTCTGGATTCTTGATTCTTCAGGATCAAGTTCTCAATTCTGAATCCTGAGTGAGAATGAGAGAGGACAGAGGACCTTCACAATACCAAATAATGAGGAGATTACAAAGCAACTTTGCAGCTGTTCTAGCTGTAACTTGGATCATCACGCTGCCCATCCTTTGGGTTAGTAAGTTGATCATGAAACACTAACACCAATGCAAGAGCCATTCATCTAGGCCAAGAGACTACTTAAAATGCAGAAAAGTTCTAATTTGTGGTCGTAAGATTCTGAGGGCTGTTCAAGTAATTCGATCAAGTGGATGTCGCTGTGACTTCAGCTGAATTTAAAATCAAAATCTAGCAATTATTTCAAGGCTTAAAACAGTATGGCTGAGAGTTACATAGCCTAAGGTTTCCTTGCAAAATGGAAAGTATCATATTTTTCAGGTTATTTAGCCTGTATTATTTATCACCCAAAAACCCACAACCCTCTACTTCGATAGCAATGTGGATTGTATTGATGTGCCAACAATACAAGAAGTTTGGCAACTGGAGCCTTTCCTCCTGCCCTTTGTGGCTTTGATTTCTATCTGATTTCTATTCAGTCTGTGAATAGTTAACTTGAACAATAATGTTTGGGTGTTTTGAAGTGCCCGTTTTACCAGAATGGGGCTTATATGCATGAAAACATGGCATGCTTCTGGTATGAAAATAGCTGCTTAACTTCTCCATACTCGACTTCTCAGTCTAGCGAAGGATGAAAATGTTAGCCTACCTTCTGGAAATGTTACAGAGCTAAGTGGCTTGCTTTACATTGTGCAGCACCTTCCATGTATGGAACCCAAATGGCTTTTTAATAATATAAGCCTTCTTGCTTTACAGGAACAGTGACTAATGACTAAGACTATCCCAGTGGGAAGGAAGGAGAAATCAATGATTATTCCTCAGGAATACTGAAGTGCCCCTGGAATAAGCCAACATTCTTCAGTAACGATCACCAGTAACTCTTTATACTCCAACAAACTGTTTCTGTACATGAAACAAAGTTCTGTTGCTTGTTTTGTATCGTGTCTGGAAAGTGCAAGGAAGAGCTCTTCTGGGAAATAAATAAAAGAAAAATGGCCTTCTCTGGTGTGTTGACTTTGTATGTGAGTGAGAGAGAGAGAAAGAATGGAAGGAGAGGACTTCGTTTTGAGTACCTAGCAGCTGTGACCACCTGGGTAAAAGGCACTGTGAGAGCTCTTCAGAAAAGACAGCCGTCGTACGTTCCTCCCCACTCTGGAAAGGCAACCCCCATCTAACATACAGTTCAAAGAAGCGTTCCCACCTCATAAATCACCCACTAGACCCCTGCTGCTTGTGCCGGTGTTTGGAGAGGAATATAAATACTCCTGTGTCCTGTTTGTACAGTTGCCCTTTAAAATTGGAATTTTGTCCTCTCCAAAGAGGCAGAATCCAAAAGGGCAAATCCTAACTGTGTGACTGATGCAGCTAGCCAGTGCTGTCTCTTGTAGCTTTGAGTCATGGAGTGACCCAAGTTTGAAACTTCCCAGGATAGTGGGTGAATTAAACAGATGCACATGCCATCTGGCTCTGAGCTGACGGTTTAGGCTGATTGTTTTTTCACCCCTTTTCTGTGGGAGAACAGGTTTCAATGTCTGGGAATGGGTCACAAGTATTTAAAGCTCTTTATTACTTTGGCAAGTCACTGGTCCAAGTGACTCCTGTCTACTTTACGTTTACCCCAGTCTGTGTAATTACTTGTTGGCATGTTGTCTGCTGCTCTTCTGACTCTGAGAGGAGGTTGTCTTCGCTGCTTATTTACTCAGCACAATTTTCTAGCTATTGAGATGAGTCTCAAGGACCTCTTCTCTTTCTTTCTCTGCATATTGTCCATGTAGCACAAGATGTAAATGCACGTCTCCCAAGACAGAAGGGGAATGGTATAGATTGATAGGGAGCTTTCCTTTATTGAAAGCCTGTTCTGCTGCATGGTGAGCACTGGCAGATGGAAGAGTGACAAAAAAATTCCTCTTCAGAAAGGAAAACACAATGGAAAACAAGTTGCACAATATTTGTTTTTTAAACCATGCCAAAAAAGGAAGGGGGTGGACTGAGGGGCAGTCTTCTGAGCTCAGAGAGCTTGCGAAACTCCTTATCTTACTGAGCAATGGGACTGAGATTTGGTCTGGGTGCTACAGCAGTCCTGCACCCCCACATCCCCCCGGGCACTTGTGTGTGGATCTTGTACGCTGAAGAAGCATGTTGAGCTGTGCCCAGAGTCAACAGAAGCTGAAGAGCTTGCCTAGAGCAATGGACTTGTGAAATAAAATAGCTTTAATGCCAGAGCAGCATTAAAGACTGTCAAAGCATGATACCATCCGGGACCATTGCTTGAGCATGTCCTTGTTTTTCCACCTCCTCCCTTGCCGGACTGCATTCATCACTCAGGTCAAAACAGCTTATTGGAAACGGGATCTCTCTCTTTCTTCCTGATTTTGAATCATTTTATCTGGCCCCAATTTTTAATTTGAACTATGTACCTTGGCGCCATAGCTCCTCTGTGGTTTGGAAAGTGTTTTTATTGAGTTCTGTGTGTGTGTGTGTGTGCTGCGATGCTAGCAGTCTGGTAAGCCAGTGGTTCAGCTGGAGAGAAGAGCATGAACCTGGGTAAGAAACAGGAGAACCGAAAGCGGTAGCCACGCTCCAAATATAACGACTGTCGACATGCAGAAAAAGCTTTAGCTAGTGCTGTGTCATTTGGGCCATGACGATGGCTTCCATTTTTATTTAGTGTCCCTGGTAATGAGTTGTCCCACCCTGATATGCTCTGCTTTAGTTCAAATACAACTTCCTAAAGTTAATTCTTACTTAGTATGATCTACTGTGACATGTGATCAAGTGGTTCTTCTGGCCCTGGAACTCAGAGGGTACACTTCTAGATACCCGTTCACAATGTGTCATTTATTGCTAGAGTGAGAATAATCAGAACAAGTGTTCTTGCTCATTAATATGAAATTCACTAAGGTGAGTGTGGAAAAACTGCGCAATTTTACTCTAAAAAGTGGAATTTAAATTTTGTTACCGCTCTTTAAGTGGGGTAAGAATTTAATATTTTTGTTTTCCACAGCTGCCTTGCTTCTTCTTGTTTGTGTTGAGATACATATATATGCATATATAACTAGCACATAATAGGCCTGTATTTGTTTTGGTTTAATTAAAGTTGTATTATTCAAAACCTATTTTTGAACCTGTCAGTGTAAGCTGTGCAACATATCTCCGTGTGAGGACAAGTCTCCTGTTTCCCTCTATGGGAATGAGACCATACTGTTCCCAACTGAGGTTGGAATAGGAACGGTTTCCTGCTGCTTGATTTCTAATTACATAAATGGAAGGGGGAAAAGTGGAAATTCTAAGTACCAAAAGGCATGTTAAATTTAGTATAATACACTCATCTGGAAACTATCACATTTTTCCTTCTTTCTTAAGCCTGCTGAAATCGTTGCTTCGTCTAACTGTAGCGTGATTTGAATCAGTACCAAAAAGTGCAAACAAGATAGGCCTAAAAAAGTCAGGTGTCCCTACCCAAAACTTAATGGGACCCTTTCATGGAGAAGTTACTGTATCACCCCGATGCAATTTTAATAGGAAAATGGTGAGTATACAGTGAGTAAAGAAGCCATACCACTATCTAGGAGAAGAAAAAAAAAAAAAAAAACAAAAAAACCAGCAGCTGTTTGCTGAATAGAACTGTTTTTGAACGTTTAACAGCTCCCTAAGTGCTTGACTGGCCACAAATCTGACTCTTAACAGCTTGATTAGATGTCTGCTGAGGCTTTGAGATGAATAAACAAGTCATGGAAAAGCAGAGACTGCAGGAAAAAAAAATATCAAGCTGCTTTTCTATTGTTTATCTGAGTCGTTCATGTTTGATCAAGATACCGTCATTTCTTTGTATTTCAATCATGCCTAGGAGCCTTAGCCAAGATCAGGACCTTGCTGTATGTGGTGCTGTACACACAAATAAAACCCAGTCTCTGCCCTGGAGAATTTACAAACTAAACAGATGGGATTAAGGGAGGTAGAAAGGTTTATAATTCCCATTTTAAAGATGGGAGAAGCTGCAGCCAAGGTCAGTGATAAGTCTTGGAGGGAATGTGGCATGCAGCTGGGACTCTAATTTGAGTCTTGAGCCATTGACTCAATCGGCCGTCCTTTCTGACTGTTTTTTCACTTGGCAGGTCATGGAGTCTCAGGGGAAGGCTGCCCACTTCATAGTCTGGGAAACTCCAGAAGGGTATGTTCTGCAACCATTTGCTATCCTCAAATTGCCCCAAATTCTTAATGGCAAATCTCTGCTAAGTTAGGAATTCCGTTTTATGATCCAAGAGGTGATTGCTTATAGAATCACTACTAGGTGTAAAACACTGAGATCCTCAATATTGACTTTGGTGTAAATCTGAATCTGATAAGGAGAGAAAATGTTGAAATGCGTTACCAGTTCTTTGCGTCACAGCCGCATCTGGAGCCCTTCACATGGACTGGACACCGCTGTGTTAGGTATAACATAAGCATAATACCAGAAGATAAGTCACTGCCTCAGTAGATCTACCTTAAATATGAACTTGGGTAACAGATTGAGATAGAGGGAGGATATCAAGGAGACAGCATCATTCCAGTAGTGGAAACAAAGCAGTGATGGCGTAACTCAACTCTTCCAGAGGGTTCACACGGATGATTCTCCAAAGGAGAAGGAATTGGTTTTCCAGATATTTTTATTGGGTTCCCTCCGAGTTTTTGGAGCAATGCAAAAGAGAATGCAAAGGTGCTTGTTTGCAAATGGAGCGGGCGCATGAGTAGACTAAAGGAGACTGTGGTGGTTGTGGTAGCGACCTACCACGAGGTATAGCTCTTACGCTTGTGCTAGAAGGGAGAGGCTAGTGGCAGATACATGATCACTGACCTGCTAGGAAAACCACTTTTTTCAGCAGTGTTCTGAATCAGCGAGGCATTGCTGACCCTTCCTTTTGCTCTGAGCTGGCTGGGTTTTGTTGCTTTTCCCCCCTACCACACACATCCCGATGGTAAGAAATAAACTTTTTTCTCGTCTCCCACCCCACCCCTGCCTTTGTAAATGGGACTGGTGCAAATTTTGGCACGCCAGCTCCGGTAGGCAGCTGTATGCAATGCGTACTGTGTCTTAACTGCTCTGAGAGTCCAGCCTATAGCCCACCCACAGTGAAATGCTTAACTGAGATTGAAAGTAAATGGGAACGTAGTTTATGGAAATTCAGCTGTGGATCGCTGTTTCTCTTGTGACTTCTGGCTGTCAGCACTTAGCAGTACAGCATTGCTAGCTATTTAGAGCTGGATGTTCCTCATGGTGGTGGATATCTACCTCCTGTAGCTTATAAAGATGCTGAGAAAGTCGTTGGTGACTAATAAATCACTCTTCATCTATAGTCTTTATTGGTAGAGCTTGTAAAGACTCCAGCTCTGGGTTAGGAGTGTATGCCCCTTCCTAGAAAAGGTCATGCCCTTATCAGTTCAAATTCAGTTCATAAATCTCCTGTTGTATGAAGGAGTGTGTTTCTTTTTAGAAGTTTTCAAGGGTATTCTTCCTCCCCCTTGGTGCTGCACTTGAAGTTGTTAGTAGTGACTAACAGCTTAACCCAGACCCATTACTAATCCCATGAGCCATGCATTCCCTGAGGATTTAGGAGTCCAGTTGTGATAGAGATAGACAGCACCTCAGTTTTCTCCCCTGAAAAATGGAAACGGTGATACTCTCTCCACTTGCTCATGGCTTTAAGACTTACTTCATTCCCAGGTACAGTTCAGCTCTGTACAGTCAGCTGGCGTATATTGTGGGACACCACAGCTCACGACCCGTCTGTGCTGGACTGAATCACACTCCACAGTTCACAAAATACGTTGGCTTCCGCTCTTTGAAGATGCTGGAATGACAAGGTAAAGGTGTGATGTGGGAAGGGGGAGTATTTCTGCACTTTCTTATCCACCCTCTGATTTCTTCCAGTCACCTGCTTCTCTGTCACCAAACTCCCACGCCTTCTCTCCAGGACAACGTGCTACAGCGCAGAGCAATAAGGGAGAAAGGGCTGTAG